AGGTTTTTCTCCACTGCGGGGGCTTATAACCCTCTCAAAGAAACGCAGCCCGAGGAACGCTGAAAAACTGCCAGGGATTTGGGAATTGGGGTCAAGCTCCTTGAGCATCCTGTGCCCGCTTTGCAGTGGGTTCCGTGCAAAAGTGGACTCGAGCACACCTTGACACCATGGAAGGATAGTTGCTGTGGACGAAATCCGTGTCGCACAAACCTAAGAAACCCTGGAATGATCCGATTCCCCTGTAACATGCCAACAAACATTATGGCTTCAACCACGGTTTCTGGGGTGGTGCTTTTACCGGATTTCGTCCATCCACACTATGTTTGGCAACAGCCCGAAGGAGAGAACTGTAACACAAATCACCTCTTGCTGGCCATTGGCCCACGTCCAAACCATGCTGGTAAGTGGGATGCAAGCACAATCGAACGACACCAAAAGAGGACCGATTAAACATATTTCCATGAAACGCTAAACATTGCAGCAAGAGGAGCTACAAGCAAGCGGAAGACGCTCTACGCCGCTCATCCAACGACACCGAAGAGGACCGATTTATAAGTAACGGTAACTTATTTCCATGAAACGCTAAACATTGCAGCAAGAGGAGCTACAAGCAAGCGGAAGACGCTCTACGCCGCTCATCCAGCGACACCGAAGAGGACCGATTTATAAGTAACGGTAACTTATTTCCATGAAACGCTATAAACATTGCAGCAAGAGGAGCTACAAGCAAGCGGAAGACGCTCTACGCCGCTCATCCAACGACACCGAAGAGGACCGATTTATAAGTAACGGTAACTTATTTCCATGAAACACTGAACATCGCAGCTAAAGGAGCGCAGCCGACTCGAAATCACCGATTTCCTATTAACTTGTCTATTGAGAAGCGCGCCCTTTTTGCTCGATTTGGCTCCCGTTTTCCAACGAATTTCTCGCCTGCTGTTGCTCCACCACGGCCATCTGCATCTTGGCCTCGCCCGAGTTGAAACTTCTGTGCCAGAACATCCCTTTAGTTCCCCCCCCCCCAACACAACCTGAAACAGGGCTGTGGGAAATGATCACTTCTGTGATACAACCAAAAGCGCTTCCCAAAGACTGACCCCCTATGTAAAGGGGGAGATTTTCCTTGAATCACAGAAGTAGGGATAAACCCCTTGATCCCACAACCCTGACCTTGAAGGGAAGCCTTCCAGTGTCCTGGCAAACCATTTGTTCCCCTCCAAAAGGGCGGACGCTTTGTGGGCCGTGTGTTGGCCAAAGGGTCCAAACTGGTAGATGTAATTAAGCAAGCTGCAAACAGGGCCCCTTGGCCCAAGAAAGTAAACGGATCATGGGTCGCAACCGAGGCCCCCTATGCGAGGCCGCTACAACTTTCTCTGCTCCGCACATGGTCACTTTACGCCCATGGTACACATGTTGAGACATATCCACCAGTATGCCACGCAAACAATTTCAGCTCAGGGTCTTGGAATTTGCATCCACTCACTTCTGCGATACCACTCGGAACTATGCGAGCCAGGAACGCAATCACTTCTTCACGCCTGCATTTGGACCTACTTCTGTAGCAAAATCACAAAACAAGGCTGCCCCCTTTCTTGTCCTACCCAAATTCGTTCATACCATAACATCACAAAGAGGCAGGGGCGCCTTTTATTGTTTTCTGACCCACCGGGACGGTGCTTTTGTGGGCTTTTGGGGAGGTGTTGGCAGAGGTATATTTTCGGGGCTGGACTCCGCAACGCGTGGTCCAACGAAACGTGGCCGAACGAAATCCGGTGGCCTCCTGCTCTAGCTGCCTGACACGGCTCTTGACCTGCAAACGGGTAGGGAACAGCCGGTGAAGCACATCGATTGGCCACAGCTGTCCTTTCATGTCAGACAGCCCTGGTGCCAGTTGGCTCTAGTCACTCTAGTCTATCGAAGTTGGAAAGACAGCACTGGTGTCAGTTGGCTCTATGGAAACAAGCAAAGTCCCTCCCACAACGAGTTTCAGGAGAGGTTCTTAGAAGCTTAGAAGGGGTTCTGAGGCAAAACAGGAAACCATTGTAGTGGATAGGGGGGCCCAATGAATACATGTCAGGGTCTTAGTTTGGGTGCCCCGTCGTTGGAAACTGGAAAAGGATGTCTGAAAGAAAACCCATGATACAAATACCGAATACCCAACACGACTGCTGGACAAAACTTATGCCGGGCCAAAGTTGAGATATAGATGGAGCCCTCTGAGTGCATGGCTAAACCGCTAACTGGTGCCCGGTGCCCGCCATACTGCCACAATATTACTGCAACAAACCGATGGTGGTCACCCAAAACCGATACAATGGTACTGCATTCCGCGTTACTCATATAAGCCCTGGACAAAATCACGTGTTTCTTCTAAAGCACGTAGGCTTTTGGGTTGCTCCCTTGGTTCTTGTGCAAACAAATTGGGGAGGCTGTCCTCCTCAAACTAACATCTGACCCTTCTTAGGGGGTTCGGCCTAGATGGTAGGTTGTTGTAGCCTAGTAGGCTATCACCCGTTGGTGGAGTCAAAGCTGTTAGTGGGTTACAGCCCACACTGACCACTTCCTATCTGACCCCGAACATCCGTGCGTGGACTTGTCTCAAACATAAGCCAGGCCCCCGATGGGTGGAGCACGGTGGACTGACCCAGCCCAAAGCCTCAAAACCGGTCTTGACGTTGAGATCTGGGCGTCACTGGCCCAGGCCCTTTCTGGCTGGGGGAAGCGACGCCGGGATTTCTCAGAGGGCGCAAACATAAAGAATGCCTCTCTGCGTTGGCTACTGGAAGGGAGGGAAAACGCAAAAACAAATCAGCGAATGGAAGCAGCCCCGCCTCATCTAGGGCGGCATCTTTGGCCTCCACAGCCTGGCGACTGGCGCTTTTCGGAGCTGCTTCCTTGCTTCCTGAGTGGACTGGCCAAAAAAGCCCTGGAACTCTGCCCAAAAATATCTTCAAGTCCGGGAACTAGGAAGTGAGTTTCGTATCAAAGTCAGAAACAGGAATCGGTGGCGTGCCTGGCAAACCTACCACGAGGGTGACTTTGATAGTGAAACGATGGGGCCTGTCTTGTTTCGTTTGGTAACGCGCCAAACAACGTGCCAACGATCGCTCCTGTTTGATCACACTGCCCACCCGACATCGGGCAACGTACGCAGTCTTCTTCCATCCCTTAGCCACAAGTGGGTGAGAAAAACCTGCGCTTTAGAGACCTCCAGTCTCTCAATCTCGGTATGATCACAAACCCTTTGAGTGCTTTTCAATTCCTTAAGCTACAGGAGTGGACAGTCTCCCCTCGGGACGAAGGCTTGATAGGAAACGGCGAGGTAGTGAAACGGGGCGGTCGCAAGGGTGCGGGCAAAACTCGAGGCTTTTCGCAGCAGCGAAGGCACCTGCTCATTCATCTCCAGTACATCCAAAAGCCCCAAAAACACGACGACCCTCTAACCTCAAAACTCATAGGGGCCCAAACAGCCCGAAATGATATACATTGCTCATGCGGAATGCCTATGCAGTGCCTCCGCATCACAAAGAGAAGCATCCATTGAGGAGCCCAGGCAAAATCATTCACCAGTCGCTTGACCAAGAATGTTGGTCGTCTCAACTAACAGGTCAGGGAGGGCAACGTCCCAAAAAAGGGTAAAAGTGCACTACTGGTGGACCTAGTTGGTCTTCGATGGAGCAGGTGGGACCCGCCTGTTCCACCAGTCGCTGCGCCTGCAGCTGCTCGTGGCAATGTGACAAGTCCTGGCACTCAGCGGTTTCCGCGCTTTCACAGAAACCAGCGATTGGGCTATGCATAAAGTCCTAAGATCCAAGCAAAATGCACCAAAGATTAGCTGGTGCCAGGAGGTTGTAAAACAGGTTTTTTAAGCACTTGCCGAAAAGTGTAATTAAGAGTGACTCTTGACGAGTGCGCGAGTGGAGTGTGCGGGTGGGTAGGGCGTGAGAGTGTGCGAGTGAAACGGACAAGCGAGCGGACGAGTGGACGAGTCATTCAAACACTCGCGCGTCCTATTCGCACACTTTTCACTCGCGCAGAAATAAGGTCTTTGTTCACCGTATTTTGACCGAGACCGTATTTCTGTGTGAGTGAAAGTATGCGAGTTGGGCACGCGAGTGTTCGAGTCACTCGTCCACTCGTCCGCTTGCTCGCCCGTCCACTCGCACACTCGCACGGTCCACTCGCACACTCGCACGCACGGTCCACTCGCACACTCGCACGCACGGCACTCGGAGGGTACTCTCCTGGATCCAGCTAAGCTACGCAGTACGCATTGGGGTGGATACCCGCCCGCAGCGCATTTGGGACGCGCACCATTTGTGGACTGCGTGTTCCAAGGTGTGACTTGAAGCAGTTGCAGCTCAACCTTGCGCATAATATGTGCAGTGCTGCGCTTGCTCCTGAGCTGCTGCGATTATCATTTGGCAGGCATGTGTGCGGGGCTGAGCGTGCACTCTTGAGCACGTGTGCGTATCATTTGGCAGGCGCGTGTGCAGTGCTGAGGGGTGTGCTTATCATTTGTTCGGCATGTGTAAAGTGCACTCGTCAGTGGGGTGCTTATTTGGTAAAATGTGGTAGGCATGCGTGCAGTGCGCTTGTGCTCTTGAGCGGGTGTGCTTCTCACTTGGCAGCCATGTGCAGTGCCAAGAGTGTGCTCTCGAGCAGGTGAGCTTGTCAGCTGGCAGGCGCGTGTGCAGCGACGAGCGTCGGCTCACTATTTGGAAGTCATATGGGCCGAGGATAGCGGAGTTGCGGGTAGCGGGTCGGCAGGATGGAACTCCTCAAAAGCTTGTGGGCGGGTAACCACCCGACACCTTTTAGTAGGGAAGCACCTGACAGTGGTTGGTGGACATGACTCCCGGCGCCCGGGTCTGTTGATCACACCCATTTTCTGAAATTCATACAAAATCAGCTGCGTCAGAATGCCTGGAAGCACATCATCCATGGGCAATGACGGACGGGCCTCCTGCACTCGCTGCAGCTCTGCCTCCGCATGACGCCTCAGCTGAGCAAAACGGTGGGGGTGTCCTTTCCGGAAACCCTAAGCGGGTTCTATTGAGGATTTGCGTGTCTTAACATAGGAGTCCGCTCCAAACTGGTGGGCTTCGTCTTGGCTTTCCTTTAAAACCACCACCCAAAAGGGAAACAGGCCTCAAAAAAAAGACACACCCATGTGCCGGAACCTGCTTAGGGTCACACAATCTGTCCCCTCATGCCACCTCTGTCGCGTCTTTCCGTAGGCTAACTCCACAAGAAATCCGACATCCTGTCAGATTCCTCTGGCGGAAGAGAGAGGTTGCATGTGAGGAATCATCAATTGCAGGCTTGGGGGGGCCTCGCCCATGTTGGAAATAGCGGCCGCCGGAGAACCCTGGTGCATGGCACGCAAGGGGACTGTGTTGCTTGGTTGGCGCAAGTGCCAAATGAGGGGATCCTGATGCTGATCAGAATTTGACAGCAAATCACCATGGCACCTCAATAGTTGGAAACAGGTTGAAACGTTGAACTTATCCGGGTGGGGTTCAAACCAATCCCAAAAGTCCCCCCACCCATTTTGATACAGGCCTATCTCATTTAGTTACAAAGATACGACTCCCGCGGTCCAACGAGTGGTCTCAACAACTGGGCTTCATTGAGTTCATGGTCCATTCAACTGAGCAAAGTCCAGGAAACTCAGGAATCCATTCCTCAGTTCATTGTCCATCCAACAAAGAAAGCAAGCAAAAGTCCAGGAAACTCCGGAAGCCTCCCCTCCCCGGCCGGCGCCGCTTTTTGTTTCGGCCGCTGGGCCCACCGTGGCCTGCCAGCCTCTCAGCCGCGCCGTGGCGAAGGCCTTTCCGAACGCGGCGCCGTGCGCCAGCGCCAGCGCCGCCTTGGAGGGCAGCCGGCACCTCGAGGCAACACCCTACCAACCTGAAATATTTGAGTGAATTATAAATATTTCACCAACCTGAAATAAGGTGGTTAAATAAGGTGGTTGGGGGCTATTCGGGAAATGTCTCAAACTAGGGGGGCCCAAAGAATGGCGCTGGGGGTGTGGTGCGGTGTGGGGAATGTGAGTTCCCTCCCACATGTCGCTGCCAATCAAAACCCGGTATTTATCCTTGGTGGACCCAGAACCATGTAAGGAAATACAAAGGCGGCCGAAACTAAATTTATGGCTGGGATTGTCCCTTACTGAGCTTCATCTACCCTGGTTTTGATTGTGGCTCATGTGGGAATGAACCCAGGAGTCCACAAGAGATGTCTCAGGAACCCAGGGACATCATTCTCTCGCAAGGTTTGTGGCCAACCGTTTTCTGGGACGTCTCTTTGCTTGCTGGTTCTCAGTAGGAAATCAACAGGGGGTTTGGGAATGAACCCAGGCTTTGGTCCCCTTAAAGGAAACGACCAGTTGGATGGTTTGTCACAGGGTCATTCTCTCATTCCCTGCTGAGAACCAGCGAGTTGACCCCAGATATCTGGGCGTTTGCCACTCACCTCCAAACCGCAAATCGCAAGGTTTGGGTCAGGGTGGGGATTTCTCAAAAAAATCAGAGCTTTTCAGGATGGGCTCCGGCTTCCTTGTGGTTTCCCTTTCAAACCATCGAGGGGTACCGAGCGTCAACAAAGTCGCACCCAAGTAAGTCCACCCGTGTCAAAATAGGAGACCAGCTTCCTATTTCAAGACAAACCGTGACAACCCAGACTTTGACCTTGAACAAACTATGAGGGAATCCACTATCAAGCGCTGGAGGAGTGGCTAGCCCAGTCGAAATAAATCCTTTTTGAAAGCCCGTGGATCCGTTTGTGTGCCTAGGCCTGCAACAGCTCCTGGACAAAAAGCTATCTTTTTGCTTGGAGGACCACCAAAAAAGGAGCCCGATGCGGAACTCAGGAGAAAACCCGATGTCCAGATCTACCAGGCTCGCTCCAGACTAGGACCTGAAGAACTGTCGTTTCAAAGGGAAAATGAAAGCCCCAACTTGGTTGCTGCAACGACCCCTCTACAAAAAGCTGATCACTTTGCGGGTCCAATGGAAAATCCGCCCTTTTCCCCAAAAATCCACAGGTTCCACCAAAAAGTTAAAGTCCAACTATCCGTTCCCAATCGATTTTGGGTGGGACGATTCCTAGTTTTGCACGTGGGTATCGGTCTTGGGTAGCCCGTATTCGCGCTTTCTCATTTGATATTTTGTCCGGGGGATGCTGTTACAACTTCACACTTGGAGCCGCTGCAACCCGCGCGCTGCGATGTGTGTTTTACTCTAATTTTGGTACTCGGCTGAGGGTGCAGCCAATTGTTTACTAACAGTCACTCAAAGCCGATGGCTGAAGTTCAAGGTGGTCCCACCCTCAGCACCCCTGGCACTGCAGCGATTGTTACTTTCACATTGCATGTTACACTCAACAATCACTCAAAGTGCAAGCGACAAGCGCAAGCCTGAGTCGGACTCACTCATTTTGTAAAGGATTGGCAAAGCGAGTCACCAGTCAGCTAAGTGGTGCCACTTTTGAGGCACAAACTCTGACTGGTCAAACATCTGCACCAACTGTGAGTCGATTGCCAATCCAGGTCCAACTTGCAGCGCGCAATGACTCAAAGGCTGGAGGAGGAGGAAATGGACGAACTGTCCGAGGACTCCTTGTCCAGGCGTCGCCGGGGGAAATTAACACACTTGGCACATCTGATCATATGCGGGGCCAGGCTGTCTGAGAGCTCATAATCCGCCTGATGCCTTGCGAAGTACCAAAAACAGCGGGTGCGCCACAGGTAGTGGGGAAGGGCGTGATCCTTCGGCAAGACCTTGCAAAGCCACACTCTGTTTGGACCGGCAAAGGCTCAGTGCTGAGCTCTGCCGCTTCGCAATCTGCCAGGCATGCCGCAGACTGAGTCCGTAGGGCGCCAGAGGGCGATGAAGGAATCCCCCCTAGTGAGCTGAGAAGGGCCATGAGTTCGGCCCTGGCAGCAGCGATAAAATTGCGCAAAGAAGCTTCCTGCGCAAGCCCATGCAATTGCCTGAGCGGGGCGTCCCGAACGCATCGTTTGAAGCAATCGGAACCCCATCTGCCGAACAGCTGTGCGCGCCACAGTTTGATTTGTGTGTGCGCTAAATGTGTTGCCCCCGTTGCTCTTGCTGAGTGCCCTGTAAACAAACCCAGGCGCAACACTCACCTTTCAAACGTGTCAGCCCAACCCTGATTGGTTGACTGAAGGCCGTTCAGCTGAGGCAGCAGAAAAGGTGTGGATAAGGCCGAAACCCATTCCAAGTGGGCTACCATGGCATCATGCGCGCCGAGACAGGAACAGCTGTGGGTCCGCGTGGCCCCCAATGCTTTCCAATCAGCTACCAACTTGTTGGCCTTGTCTACGTTGATATGGGTGGCTTCAGCTGCGCTAGCGCAATAACCGCCATGACGCCAAAACAACTGCGCGAATCGGATGGGCGGGTCCACCCGTCACGGACTCGGTGTGTTGGGCAAAGAAACCAGCTTGGTGAGTGGAAGAGGTTGGGCCTGCTTCGCGGGTCCTCGGCCTCTTTGGCGTGCCCTTCGAGGATGTTTGGCTGCTTGCTCAAGCTGTTGTGTCCACGGTTTGCCTTTGGACACATGAATTTGCTTGGCGATACCAGGTACTGTTCGGCTGAGCTGTAGCCAGCTTTGACAATGTAGAGGGGTCATGAAAACCGGCAGCTTCCGCTACAGATTTCCAAGTGTTCTTCCTCGACTTGAAAGGCCCCTTAGAATTGTCAGCTCTCGCGATCCACGATGTGTTGAACACAACCAGTCGGCGCAGAGCGGGCGAACTTCACAGCTGTTTCCAGATCACCTCGCTGGTATGGCTTGACTCTGTCCCGGCATGTTTTGTGGTCTGCATCCATGAGCGTACCCATTTCGCCGTCTACATGGTTGTTCCCGGTCAAGAACACAGGACCCTCGACCAAGGGGACAAAACCAACGGGTTTGGCCGGGGCACACCCCTGTTTGGTGGAAGGGGCCCGGACGGAGCGCTTCGTCTTGAGCCGAGGAACAAGAGCAGATGTCTAAGGTGGTGGTTTGGGCTGGTTTCCCGTTTCCCCTCGACAAGGACCAAAACCCCAAGTAAAAGCGTCTGTTACCAGTATCGCCCCAGAGGTTCTTCGGAAGGCTCTCACGCCGCAGTCCTCCTAAGAACGGTCTCATGAGAGGGACCACACCAGCTATGAAAGATAGAGCACCAGCCAGAGATTGCCATTGTTTGCGTCCTATGACAGGCTTTGATTTCATACATATGAAACCAACCTTGGGCTTTGGGATGGTGAGCAACCGCTTTGCGATTTTTAGTGTGATGGGGACACCAGCGATTGCAGCCCAAAGCAACATGATACCGAGATCAATGCGGTAGTTTGGGTTGGCCTTGTCAAAATGTGATCAAGGGGTCGTCGACAAAAATCTGAAGTCCAACGAAATTGCAGATTGACGAGGTTGACCGACATGCCTAACCAGCTTGCGAATCTTCCCCAAATGGTAGGGGAAGAGGCGCTGCCAAAGACGAGAACATTGTACACGACGACCTTTTGAACACTCTTGGAATCACCTTCATCTTTCCAGTCGATTGAGGCAGTGGTGAATGCACGGTCTGCGCCAGCCGGGGCATTGTGGAATGCATCGCGGATATCCACAGCTAGAAACCTTGGTCCGAAGCAACATCAGACAACTTTGGCAACAGAATTCTCTCTCCCTCTGTTCACCCCAGATTCCTTTAAATCCCAAATGGTTCTCGCCTTCCGTTTGCCCTTTTTCTTTCACGATCGCCCCGAGCTTGTTAAGAGCAATCTTCTTCCCAATGAGGTCCTCGGCTTCGCTGGGGGACGAAACCAGTGAGCAGAAACCTTTCTCTATACTATATGGCATCCTTGACAAGAATAAGGAGATCGTCCCTCCATTCATCGGCGGACGGATGATTGCTCCATCCTTGAAAGGATCTAGACAAGCATCTGAGCTTCAACACACCATTGCTTGTCTTCCACCCGTGGAAAGA